GTTGAAAATGGGAAACAGATTCACGGAAAATGAAAAGGAAATGTGTGAAACATTAAATGAAAAGTTCCAAAGTGTGTTTGTACAAAATGAAATCTTCAGAGAACCAGACACAATAAGAATTCCAGAGAACAACATAGAGCGGATAGAGGTGTCTAGAGATGAAGTGGAAAATATGCTAAAGGAGCTCGGGAAGAACAAAGCAGCTGGCCCAGATGGCGTTTCACCATGGGTTCTGAGAGAATGTGCATCTGAGCTCAGCATTCCACTTCACCTGATCTTTCAGGCATCCCTGTGTACAGGAATCGTAGCAGACGTGTGGAAACAGGCTAACATAGTTCCAATCTACAAAAGTGGCAGCAGGGAAGACCCCCTCAATTATAGACCTGTATCATTGACAAGTGTAATAGTGAAAGTATTGGAAAAGCTAATCAAAACTAAATGGGTAGAACACCTGGAGAGAAATGATATAATATCAGACAGACAGTATGGTTTTCGATCTGGAAGATCCTGTGTATCGAATTTACTCAGTTTCTATGATCGAGCCACAGAGATATTACAGGAAAGAGATGGTTGGGTTGACTGCATCTATCTGGACCTAAAAAAGGCTTTCGACAGAGTTCCACATAAGAGGTTGTTCTGGAAACTGGAAAATATTGGAGGGGTGACAGGTAAGCTTCTATCATGGATGAAAAATTTTCTGACATAGAAAAATGAGGGCAGCAATCAGAGGCAATGTATCGGAATGGAGAAATGTCACAAGTGGAGTACCACAGGGTTCAGTTCTTGCACCAGCGATGTTTATTGTGTACATAAATGATCTACCAGTTGGTATACAGAATTATATGAACATGTTTGCTGATGATGCTAAGATAATAGGAAGGATAAGAAATTTAGATGATTGTCATGCCCTTCAAGAAGACCTGGACAAAATAAGTATATGGAGCACCACCTGACAAATGGAATTTAATGTTAATAAATGTCATGTTATGGAATGTGGAATAGGAGAACATAGACCCCATACAACCTATATATTATGTGAGAAATCTTTAAAGAATTCTGATAAAGAAAGAGATCTAGGGGTGGTTCTAGATAGAAAACTATCACCTGAGGACCACATAAAGAATATTGTGCAAGGAGCCTATGCGATGCTTTCTAACTTCAGAATTGCATTTAAATACATGGATGGCGATATACTAAAGAAATTGTTCATGACTTTTGTTAGGCCAAAGCTAGAATATGCAGCTGTTGTGTGGTGCCCATATCTTAAGAAGCACATCAACAAACTGGAAAAGGTGCAAAGACATGCTACTAAGTGGCTCCCAGAACTGAAGGGCAAGAGCTACGAGGAGAGGTTGGAAGCATTAAACATGCCAAAACTAGAAGACAGAAGAAAAAGAGGTGATATGATCACTACATTCAAAATAGTAATAGGAATTGATAAAATCGACAGGGAAGATTTCCTGAGACCTGGCACTTCAAGAACAAGAGGTCATAGATTTAAACTAGCTAAACACAGATACCGAAGAAATATAAGAAAATTCACCTTCGCAAATAGAGTGGTAGACGGTTGGAACAAGTTAAGTGAGAAGGTGGTGGAGGCCAAGACCGTCAGTACTTTCAAAGCGTTATATGACAAAGAATGCTGGGAAGACGGGACACCACGAGCGTAGCTCTCATCCTGTAACTACACTTAGGTAATTACACTTGGGTAATTACAAGAAGTGAGGCATAAATAACATGCATCGTGGAGGAAATACAAAAATACATAACAAATGCACTAGAAATGGCCCCTGTGGAACAGAACAGTGTCCAGGATGACCAAAACATGTCAGAAAACTGGGACTTGAAGAGATGGTGGAATGAGAAACATAACCAGAACAGATTTTTTTGCATGCCAGAAAAATGACTGAGGCTTAAAGTTGTGGAATTTACATGCATGCCACTGGATGACCACATTTGTAGCATGTGTAATTAACCCTTGAATAGGGACTTCAGAAAAATGGTCATACCTGCCTATATGGAAAAAAAAATTCTGATAAATAATTTTTCATTTATAAATTTATTAATTTGTATGCAAAATGTAAAAAAATGAATATTTACATTTTTACTGGGTGGAGGCACTCTGAAAGGTTGTGTGTTGTCTATGTGGTCTAGCATCTGTCAACATGGTGCCGAATTTGCTGCCACTGAGGTATTGGAGACAGGGCTCCTGTGTTCTCAGTTGTTTCATTTATTTATTACCACTTATTTCTCTTTATTTACAAGTGTGTGTTGAATAACTTGATAAATCACATAATTCACATAATGCATGATAATGTTTCAATTGCTGATTGGGTTTACTGAGTGTCCTTCATTACAACCAGAGAGAGAGAGAGAGAATGGTGTACTTCATTACAACAAAGTGTAATAGTCAAAATATTGGAAAAAATAATAAAAACTAAACATCAGGTAGAACATCTGGAGAAAAATTATATAATAAGACATACAGTATGGTTTTTATACAGGAAGATCTGGTGTAACAAATCTACTTTTTTTACTTAGTTATTATAGAGCTACAGAGATTCTACAGGAAAGAGATGGTTGAGTTGACTGTGTCTATCTGGACCTAAAAAAAAAGGCATTTGATAGTCCCTCACAAGAGGCTGTTCTGGAAATGGGAACATGCTGGAGGGGTGCCAGGGGAAACTTCTGACATGGATGAATTTTGTTTTGACTGGCAGACGGATGATGGCAGTAATCAGAGACAGTGTATCTGACTGGAGGAGTGTTACTAGTGGAGTACCACAGGGTTTGGTTCTTGCACTAGTAATGTTCATAGTCTACATAAATGATCTACTAGAAGGTATACAGAATTATATGAACATGTTTGCAGATGATGCTGAGGAAGATAGGAGATGCAGATGATTGTAATGCCCTTTAAATTGATCTAGATAAAATAAGTGCTTGGGGCATCATGTAGCTAAAGAAATTCAATGTGAATAAATGCCATGTTATGGAATGTGGAATCAGAGAAAATAGACCACACACAACTTACAAATTACCTGTATGTGGAAGGGAATTAAAGATCTAATAAAGAATGAGATTGGTTTTGGATAGTAAACTGTCACCAGAGATAAAGAACATTGCGAGAGGAGCGTATGCATCACTTTCCAACTTCAGATTTCCTTTTTAATAACATGGATGGTGAAATACTAAAGAAACTGTTCATGAGTTTTGAGAGACCAAAATTGGAATATGCAATAGTTGTATGGTGCCCATATCTCAAGAAGCACATAAATAAAGTGGAAAAGGTGCAAAGGCATGCTACAAAATTGTTTCTGGAACTGAAAGACGAGTTAAGGAGAGGCTTTAAATATGCCAAAACTAGAAGATAGAAGAAAAAGGGGTGATATGATCGCCATTTACAAAATATTAACAGGAATCAACCAATTTGACAAAGAAGAATTCCTGAAACAAGTAACTTCACGAACAAGAGGACACAGATTCAAGCTAAGGAAACAAAGGTGCTGAAAAAAAATATTAAAAAGTTTTCTTTTACAAAGAGTGATAGGCAGTGGGAACAAGCTCAGATAGAAGGTGGTGGAGGCCAAGACCATCAGTAGTTTCAAAGCTTTATATGACAGAATGCTGGGAAGACAGGATACCATGAGCATAGCTCTCATCCTGTAACTACACTTAGATAATTACTAAGGAATACACAGGGAAGGTAACCCTGAGCATCTGCAGCTTCAAGCACTCTTAAACTCATGGCTCATGCTGCACAAAGTAGACAGGAACAGCCACAAAGGCAAAGACACCACTTACCTTAAAACTGATGGTTGTACAGCTGGTTGTGTCGGCTGTCTCCTCCTTCCTTTCTCCAAACGAGGGGGAAGAAGGGGCAAATGAGTGTGTGCTAGTTTCGAGAACTTTTAATCATTTATTTACATTGTTGGGGAGTTCTTTTGGTGGTTCTTGAGGCTGAGGTCTTATCTGAAGCCAACAACGTTTGTTTTGTTTCACTGACTTTCTGGATGCCTTCCTTGGTGGTGGCAAACATAAATAAATTTCTAAACATTTTGTCTTAAGAGCCACCACTCCCTGTGCCTCTGTGAGGAGGCTAGGTTCTGGCTTGTGGTTCCCAGTAGGCCAATAGAACTTTGCGACTGATGGTACCTGGTAGCATTGGACACTTATTAGGAAGTCACAAGGGGCTTCCCTCAGAAAAAAAAATGAAGTTGATCGAGTTTACTGGATGGGTGATGCCTTTCAGACAAAAGATATAATTCATCTGTGAATTATTTCCTAAAGTGTGGGTGTGGACATTAGTTTGGGTAGAAGATTGCATGAGCAAGGATGGACACACAAGATATGCCTAGAACATTTCTTCCATTTACAGTTAAATTTACCAAGGTCAGAATTTTTTAGGTCCCATAGTTCACATCCTTCAAAGCTTAGACATTGTTAAATGACTTTTAGCTAGGTATGAAGATGACCAAATTCACTAATGATGACATTTGTATTGACCTTCAGGTCTCTAAGAAAATTGGAACAATTTACAAGTGGGTCCTTCGAGGATATTTCTGCCTAGTAATTTGAGATTGGGATTTCAATAAGACAAGCCCTGTGAGTTAAAAGCAACAACAACACATTTGGCAGGATTGAACATTAGGTTGTACAGTATATGTGAAAGTATCTGTGGTTGGTGCAGGTAAAACTAGGTCATCATCGTAACAGAAAACATTGGCCTTAGTACTGCATATGCAACAGCCAACTCTACTGGCTCTTAACTATTTTTACAATGGATCAAGATAGATAGCAAACAAAATTAGACTAAGAACAGCACCTTGTTAGACTTCATTTTTTTTTACAGAGAGGACATTACTTCATTTCACAGCTAATTTGCATACAAGTCAGAGTATATATTCAGCATATAGTATACTGTGTATATATATATTTGTTGTAAAATAATTGTTCCTTGTTTTGTTTGCAGCTCAGTTGATATTCCATTTTAATTTCAGGGCCTAAGGTGGACCAACAAATAAGCATGTTGCAGAGGTCTTGTAGTATTGTATTCTGACAATACGAAGACTAACTACAGTGACTTATCTAACACGGATATCAAACACAGATATTGGTTTAATACTAGCAGCATGAAATTAAAGGTTATCACTGACAGTGTTACTGCATGCTGCTCATTAAACTCTCAATGAGATATTTGGGGAATAAAGACAAAAAATGGCGAGAGGACCAGTATCATGGCGGTATTGATTCCTAGACAAATTTGCCAGTCCATGGTCTCTAGCCCATTTCCTCGTGTGAATGAGCCTATCATTTGCTGTTTATCCTCAGATGGTATTACTTAAGAGTGTTGTGACAGCCTGAGTGTGTGAACAGTGTGTTTGTTGTACATGTATATTTTGTGTATATCCGATACCTACAATTTTCACTCATTCTTCTCTTCTGTGCATGTCCCTATATCCCTGTCAATGCCAGATTTCATAGTAAAAACTTGTAGGGAACTTTTGCTATGCTCTTGTTGGAGACATTTTATATGAGCTGGGTCTCATCGTGAGAGTACTGTAAACAAAATATATTCCTGCAGGTAATTTCTTACTTAGGAAGTGTGTTTTAGTTTTCATATTACAGTATATTTCTTTCCTTCAAGGTGTTTGTCGTAAGAGCAGATTACCTGAATAGGGATATACACCCACTTTTGGAAAATGGCAGTAAATTTCTGACCAAAGTTCAGTTAAGTTTAGCTGGATAAAGCTGCCAGGCCATGATAATAATGAAAACGCATTATATGTCAATTTGACATATTAATGGAACGTACATATCTACCACTGTAGGAATCTAATCAGTCAGTAGATAAATTTAGATAAGCTATGGTGTTCAAATTTCGTAAATTTCATATTAGATGAGAACTCTTTTTTTTTTTTTTTATCACAATTTTTTTAGTTAGCAATTTTAGAAGTGAACATTTTCATATAATTTTAGTATGCCTGCATTAATCTTGAAATTACTTAAACCAGTCATTTTTAAATAATAAGTTTTCTTTCATACATTTTGTACTTCAATATTTTGGACAATTGTACATTTTGTTCTTGTAGAAGTTTGGCATTTATCATCCTTTTAGTTTTATGCTTTATCACCCATGTCTTCAGAGAGCTAATGCAGTTTCATCTAATTGCATGCCCATGGAATGCATAGGAAGTGTCCTTGCCTAACCTTTACTCTCAACAAAATTAGAGGGCTTCATATAGCCAAATACAGTACTCTGGCTTTTTATAGCAGTTTAAGCATGTCATTATAGTCTTTACATTTCTTAAATTAAAAGTAAAAAGTTAATACAAATTATACATTTCAGGTATGGAATCTTAAACTCCATTTTCTTAACTGCAAAATCAAATTTGAATCTGTTAAAAAATGATCAATATTATGTACAGTAATTGAATCCCTGGAAACTTTCACTTGACAATTAGCAGAAGCTCTCTTACCATTACCACTTGATAATTAGCCCAGGTGCAGCTTGTAATGTAACTTGGCTACTCTGCACTCTTATGTCAGAGTTAGTTACCATTGTTTGATTGTAGACACGTTTTTCACAGACTTGAATTCTTGAATTAGCACTTGAATAATGGTAACTACAGTGCCAAATATGGTAGGAGAATCACTAGAGCTTAAAGTACAGTATGATCAGTCTCATGTACTAATGCTAAGAATTTCAGCCCAAGTTAATATGAATTTCTGCCATTAAAGAATTTGCATAATTACCTGTTTTAATGAGGGGAAGAAACTTGGATGTCAAGTAGTGACAATCATTTTTCATACGTGCACAAAGTACCCCATAGTTCAGTATATAGGTCGTCGTGTCATAACGCTGTGATCGGTGATGACTTATAGACGAGACAGCAAGTTGGAAGTATCTAATGAGTGAATACAACTGTACTCTGTCATGTTGAAATAAAATATAAATCTTGAGGAACTACATTAGACAGTCACTTACAGTATAGGTCACTAATTATAATCTAGGGATATGGAGGCAGAGAGAGACACTTATCATCTTTAGAATATGTAATGTGTAGGCCTTAATAGTGGTTCACATTTTTTAGTATTGACAATACTACCAACAATGATTAATTGGATATAAATTTATATATTCATTGATCAGTAATCTGTTTTAGACAAAAATGGCTAAATATTCTTTCAATACATATCATTTGTATAGTATAAAATGTGGTATGTGTAAATAAATATTGTAGTGTAACATTGGGGAAGTGTTCTAAATTAATGCTTAAGGTCTGGATTTTAGAGTCTAGAATATCATGTCATGGTCAGTTTCTCTAGTTTTCTTTGACAACCTTGAGGTTAGCTAGAGTTGGTTCCAAGAATCAATGTTTCTGCAGCCCAATCTTTGACCAGGTCTTCACTATTAGCTTCTATCATAAATCTGCATAAGTAAATTCTGATGAAGGCTTGTATCTCTCCTTCCATACTGCACCTAAATATACAGTCAGAAACAACACTCCACGTACAGTGTCGGAGGCATGTAGTGCGCTACCATTGTATATAATGCTTTTTTTCTTTTAATTTTCATATATTGTATACTAAAGTGCAAATGATTTTATAGATATCTTTAGTTTCTAAAAACAGAATGGAGGTTGTGAATATTTTTTATTACAATTATTATTATATCCTCAAGATGCCCTCTGTTTATTAGAATGTTAATACTGGAAAAATAAGTTCACACATTATACTAAAATAAATTAGACATTTTAGATTTTGTAAGCTGTGAGATAAATATTTTATATATTTGTACTGTACCTTCATTTGACGATGAAAATCACAGCCTCAAGAGCTTTTACTCCCAGCTGGCTTGTGTTTAAGGAATCAACTTAAAAATGCTGAAAGATGAGTATTTCTCTAAAGAAATATATTCAACCCAATAATGTGATTGGTGCACTCAGCATGCCTTAAGAAATATGTCCATTGACAGTGTCACTGAAACACTAGATGCTGCACCAAATCATGTACAACTAAATATACAGTTATTACATGTCAGACAGAGCCTTGGGACATCAAACATGGTTCAGTAAATTTATTGCTGCAGTGTACTGTGGCGACTTCACCAAAATTTGCCTTTTGGCAGACTTGAACTGTAGACTTGTGGATTGAACTAGTCATGATATTTCTCACCAGTACATGATAATACTATTCTGAACTGATATTAATTTGAATTTGGAACTTGCTTTCTATTTAAATTACTGATCACTTGGATTTTGTTAATAAAAGATTACAGCAGCTATTGCTGATTAGGGCATGCATGTTAATATTTCCATTATCAATCGTTTCTTGCCTATTATATTTAGTTAATACTTTTCAGCCCTTTGCCATTGTTCATGCAAGATGAAAATCATATTAATGATGTACTGTGGATGAAGTTAATCTCCAGTCTACAAGAAAGTTTCCCTTTTGAAACCATATTGCCAAGTATTGTTCATTATCAATATATTTTGCCTATATTTTAAGTTATCAAATGCTGTATGTTTGGATATTGCCATGGAACACTGAATAATGTAGGCTGACCCTTCCTGTCCTTGAAGAGGCCTCTGAAGGAAGTTCTTCCGACTTGTTCAGTTTGTGATCTTTTTGAAAATTGTGTAATATTCTTACAATCTGTTGATAAAAGGAACAAGACAAGTTATTCCATTTTTTAAGGGGGGGGGGAGCAAACTAATAGCCAACAGTGATTTTTGAAGAGGTGTAGAGTTTCACTTCCTTCAGCCTGCCAGCTTCCAATGACTAGCCTCGCATGTCTGAGGTGGCAAGACGCTAGTCCTCTCGTAGCAATAAAAACAGCTTGGCTTCTCTAAAATAAGTAGCCAATTTGTTTTCACTCCAATAAACTGAGTTCCACGAGTTGCTGGATTGTTTTAATGGTCTGTAAATTCTAGATTTTATGTGAAAATACAAAGTCTTTAATATATTATTGATATACAAATTTAGTTTTATTAACCTTATAAATACCCTAGTACCTTCATTACTGGTTATCTCATTGACAAGAGAAGCAATAATGTATTATCCACATTAGATTTTTAAATGTTTACTATGATATAATAAATATTTTCAGTTGTCAATGAGGAAAACTTCCTTATTTTGTTTCTCACGTAGAAGAAATACTGTATGAGTACCACTTCACAATTCTCTTTGCTGCTCAAATAAAAAAGGCCCATAGAACTTGTAAGCAGGAGATGGAAGAGCAGGGAAAACAAGTTTGCTCAGAAAACTTGAGCAAGGAACTGGAGATGAGGCAGAGAGGGGAAGTACAGAGCGGTGGCCCAACCACCATGGATTTGAACTTGGGTTCATGTCTGTAAGTCTGAGTGGAGCATTCTTGGCAGTACACACTTGGCAGTAAGACAAGGTAACAAATCAGGAGGAGCAAATCAAGGAACTAGTGAAAGAAAATGAGGCATGGAAAGTGAAGTGTGGTGACTTTGAAGAAATAAACAAGAAGATAGACTCATATGGTGAACAACTCCAAGCAAGCCTAAGGGCTAACATAGAGTTAGGTAAGGATCTCCAACTGGAAACTTCACTGACAACTCACATAGAGGAGGTGAATAAAGAACTAGAAAAGTATAAAGAAGAAATAAAAGCGACATATGCTCAAGTTGTAAAAGAGAAAGAGACTATCAAAGAAGTGTGTTCGGAAGTCAAAACCAGAAATGACCAACAAGAAGCAGAAATTAGGCAAGCAATTAGGAAAGAACTGGTTACCAACAGTAAACTGGTACAAAACACTGCAGATAGAACTAAGTCCATAATCATTTTTGGATGTTTAGAGAAGGAAATTTCATCTAGGGTGGACCGAGCGGCAGAAGAGATGAAAATCATAGAGAAAATAGTAGGTTTAGGAGAAGGCTCAAAGGAAAATGTCAGTGATTTTAGAAGAATAGGAAAATATGAGAAAGAAAAGAACCGCCCCTTAAGGGTGACCTTTAATGGAGTGAAAAACATGATGGAAGTGCTAAGAAATGCCAGGAAACTGCAGAGTGATGAGGTTGGCAAATCTTGGTCAATAAGACAAGACCTCTCCAAGGAAGACAGAGAAAAGCTGAAAATGAACTTAATTGAGGCAAAACGGCTAAATGGGGATAGAAATGAAGAAGACAGAAATTCTTTTTTTTACAAAGTGACAGGGACTGGAAAGCTTGTGAAATGGTACATAAAAACAAAGCAACAAGATCAGTAGTGGAAGGGGGAGTAAAGAGCAAAGGAAAAGGGAAAATGTTCCTGAAAATTGTATATACCAACATAGATGGAGTGAGGTCAAAAACTTTGGAGTTGCAAGATATAATCCAGCTTAGGGTCCCAGATATTGTTGCATTATCAGAAACGAAACTTGAAGGAAATATAATAAATGAAGTCATATTCCCAAGAGGCTACTCAGTTTGGAGACGTGACAGGAAAACTAGGAAGGGAGGAGGAGTGGCTGTACTGGTGAAAAAACACCTGAAGGTAAAAGAGTTAATATTTGAAAACCCTCGAGATATTGACATAATGGCATTGCAGGTCTGGAATCAGGATGATAACCTGATAATTGTAAATACCTACAGCCCACCAGCAAGCAACACGTGGACAAAGGAAGAACTGGATGACAAACGAGAGGGCCTCATAATGGTCATGAGAGATATTATTGTACAAGCAGATAAAGATAAATCACGACTGTTGATACTGGGGGACTTCAACTTTAGAGCAATAGACTGGGAGGCCTATGAAGCAAGAACGGAGGACTTTTGGACATGCAGATTTGTGAACCTCATTCTGGAGACATTCTTGTATCAACACATAAAGCAAGCCACAAGAATGAGGGAAGGAGATATACCGTCAGTACTGGATCTAGTATTCACCAGGAAAGAAGAAGAGATTTTTGACATCCAGTACCTTCCTCCCTTGGGAAAGAGTGATCACGTCCTGTTAGACATTAAATATGCTTTAAGATATCATCTAGAAGAAAATGGGGACATTGAAACAGTTGATAAACTCGATTTAAAGAGAGGCAACTATGGGGAACTTCGAAATTTTTTTAATGAGTGTAATTGGACAGAATTGTTGCTAGGCAGGGAAGTAAATGAAATGTATGCCAAATTTTTAAAACTATACGAGGAAGGCACACAAACATTCATACCAAAACAGAGATGCAGGACCAGAAAACAGGATTGGTTCGACAGAAATTGTGAGAGGGCAAGAGACCAAAAGACACAAAAATGGAATCAGTATAGGAAGAGGCCAAACCCCCAAACATACCAGCGATACAAAGATGCGAGAAACAATTATACAGCAGTAAGGAGAGAGGCAGAAAGAAATTTTGAAAAAGGGATAGCAGATAAATGTAAAACAGAACCGGGCCTATTCTACAAATTCATAAACAACAAATTGCAGGTAAAGGATAATATCCAGAGGTTGGAAATGGGAAACAGATTCACGGAAAATGAAAAGGAAATGTGTGAAACATTAAATGAAAAGTTCCAAAGTGTGTTTGTACAAAATGAAATCTTCAGAGAACCAGACACAATAAGAATTCCAGAGAACAACATAGAGCGGATAGAGGTGTCTAGAGATGAAGTGGAAAATATGCTAAAGGAGCTCGGGAGGAACAAAGCAGCTGGCCCAGATGGCGTTTCACCATGGGTTCTGAGAGAATGTGCATCTGAGCTCAGCATTCCACTTCACCTGATCTTTCAGGCATCCCTGTGTACAGGAATCGTAGCAGACGTGTGGAAACAGGCTAACATAGTTCCAATCTACAAAAGTGGCAGCAGGGAAGACCCCCTCAATTATAGACCTGTATCATTGACAAGTGTAATAGTGAAAGTATTGGAAAAGCTAATCAAAACTAAATGGGTAGAACACCTGGAGAGAAATGATACAATAACAGACAGACAGTATGGTTTTCGATCAGGAAGATCCTGTGTATCGAATTTACTCAGTTTCTATGATCGGGCCACAGAGATATTACAGGAAAGAGATGGCTGGGTTGACTGCATCTATCTGGACCTAAAAAAGGCTTTCGACAGAGTTCCACATAAGAGGTTGTTCTGGAAACTGGAAAATATTGGAGGGGTGACAGGTAAGCTTCTATCATGGATGAAAAATTTTCTGACTGATAGAAAAATGAGGGCAGTAATCAGAGGCAATGTATCGGAATGGAGAAATGTCACAAGTGGAGTACCACAGGGTTCAGTTCTTGCACCAGTGATGTTTATTGTGTACATAAATGATCTACCAGTTGGTATACAGAATTATATGAACATGTTTGCTGATGATGCTAAGATAATAGGAAGGATAAGAAATTTAGATGATTGTCATGCCCTTCAAGAAGACCTGGACAAAATAAGTATATGGAGCACCACTTGGCAAATGGAATTTAATGTTAATAAATGTCATGTTATGGAATGTGGAATAGGAGAACATAGACCCCACACAACCTATATATTATGTGAGAAATCTTTAAAGAATTCTGATAAAGAAAGAGATCTAGGAGTGGTTCTAGATAGAAAACTATCACCTGAGGACCACATTAAGAATATTGTGCAAGGAGCCTATGCAATGCTTTCTAACTTCAGAATTGCATTTAAATACATGGATGGCGATATACTAAAGAAATTGTTCATGACTTTTGTTAGGCCAAAGCTAGAATATGCAGCTGTTGTGTGGTGCCCATATCTTAAGAAGCACATCAACAAACTGGAAAAGGTGCAAAGACATGCTACTAAGTGGCTCCCAGAACTGAAGGGCAAGAGCTACGAGGAGAGGTTAGAAGCATTAAATATGCCAAAACTAGAAGACAAGAAAAAGAGGTGATATGATCACTACGTACAAAATAGTAACAGGAATTGATAAAATCGACAGGGAAGACTTCCTGAGACCTGGAACTTCAAGAACAAGAGGCCATAGATTTAAACTAGCTAAACACAGATGCCGAAGAAATATAAGAAAATTCACCTTCGCAAATAGAGTGGTAGACGGTTGGAACAAGTTAAGTGAGAAGGTGGTGGAGGCCAAGACCGTCAGTAGTTTCAAAGCGTTATATGACAAAGAGTGCTGGGAAGACGGGACACCACGAGCGTAGCTCTCATCCTGTAACTACACTTAGGTAATTACACTTAGGTAATTACACACGGCCCAGGCTCTCTGGTGAGTGGTGATAGTTGGTGGGGTCACTTCATTCTTTTATATTCTGGCTTCAGTCCTCTTTCTTTTGACTGCTTTCCTCAGGGTTGGGTCTTTGGTTATCTTGAACTTCTTGGTATTCTTGCATTTTTGTAGACATAGTGGTGCTGTTGGTAGAGACTGTAGGTATGGTATCAAAGAGGAAGTTGTTAGGGGCTGTAGTTTAACCTTTGTTGAGGAGAGGGTGGTGTCCCTACTAAGACCTCTTCATCGGACAGTTCAGCCGAGTAGAAAGCAGAGGCGGTGTTCCTTGAAAGTTTAGCAGTGGGCTGTGGAGTGGGAGCTGTAGCTCCAGCAAGAGTAGAGGTTCAGTGGGCACACACTCAGTCCATGGAACGTTGGTAGTAGGTGATGCTGAAGGAGGCACAACAGCAGGATGTGCAGCTGCAGGGACAGTGGGTGATATTGAAGCAGGTGTCATCGATGGTGAAGGCGTTGGCTCTGGGGCAGCAAGCACTGTCCCAGAACACTGATGATTAAGCCATTGGCAGTATACAGCAAGTTCAGTGTTGTAACAAATTATTGTTTGACGCAGCAATACTTTCAGCGAGGCAGAAAAGAGCTGGTACAGTACCACCACTTGAAGTAGGTTGAGGCTGTACTGCCAATTGGGCAGTGGGCCCCCAATGAGAAGAGTGAAATATCTGGGAGCTGCAGCCATTGCCTGGTAGAGCAGGGAAAGCTTCCGATTGGTAGATGCTGAAGAGTTAGAGCTGGCACTGGTGAAAGCGGTGTTGCTGGTGGAAGAGGAAGGTTGCCCCGAGT